ACTGAAATTCCCTCTCACTCTGCTTTGTCCTTCCCTGGGCCTCTTTCCCCTAATTTCAGTCTTTAGTGTGTAATCAGGATCCCATTTCCATGGAGGCTCTCTCATGGACCTGTTTGTGGTGATTAAAGCTCAGCAAGTCCAGGAACCTTGAGACTTTGTTCTCTGAGAGGAACCTTTCATTTAAAATCCCTTAACGCCCTTCTGCTCTTCTGTGGAAATAATAACAGAGATCCTTACAGATAAGTTATTTTTCATTTGCACAGAACCTGCAGTACTACAGGATAGTAAAATATGCCACTATAGGGACAAACCCCTTTGTGGCTTGATAAAACATCAGGGTCATCCATGTGGGATACATTTATTGGGCACTGGGGATAAACCCTGGAATGTGTCTTATAAGGAAATGTGTCTTGTAGCAAACAGGTTTCAAAGAGTTGTTACAGAGCTGCCACGATTTCAGCTTTGAGCAAGGAATGCTGTAAATATCAATTGCTGTTATAAAAAGCAGTAATTGTGATTTCCAGGAGTTTTACTTTCCTATTTTATCCTGCTGCTTGTATCCCACCAAGAGCTGTAGCAATATAAAAATACATGGATTCATTCAAATGCTCACTAATACACTGTTTAATTCAAATTGTTCTTAAATAGCTTCCTAAATTCTATTTCATTTTGTTATTTTGGGATTTATTGCTGCTTTAGTTCATAAAGCTGCTGGATTCCAAAATCTGAATTACAGTCCCTCTACAGTTTTGGGGTTTTTTTTATACAAGAAGTTGTACACAAGTATTCTTGATTACTTTCCTTTAGTTCCTCGTGAAATAATAAAGTAACAGCTTTTTATGCCCTATTTAAAATTTGAGTGCCAGCCAAACTCTGTTTTAGCCTCCATTTCAAGTGAGTTTGCTCATCATGCATTCCCACCACACCATAAACCTCCCCTCACTGTCTTTGCTGATCACTCCAGAGATTCCCAGCTTGGGAAATTATTGGTCATGCTTCCCTAACTCTGCTTCCCCCAAGAATGTAACCCTTAGGAAATTCATACCTTGAGCTCCTATTCCCTGATTTCCAGAGATGTATAAGATTCCAGGAGCAGATGGTGTAATTTGGAAGGTCACCACTCAAGGAGGCTGGAAAACTTCAAGTGAATGTTTCCATTCTCTACAACCTCACTGACTTTTGGGTCTGGTAAATTTACTTGATTGATCTTAAGCTTGTTTTCTCTCTGAATGGTCCTCTGAGTTTTCAATGAAAGCCCTAAAAGGACAAGATTTAGTTTTAAGTCCTAATAATTAAGATTCCTGTTGATGTAAAAGGACCCTTCACCCTTTTTGGGGCTCCTCATGATGCCAGTGTTTGCTCTTCTGGCAACGTTCAGCCAAAGCTGTGCAATGTAGTGTCTCCAGTTTGAGTCACACGAGGTAAAAATAAGGCTGAGTGACTCTGGAAATCAAAATCTGTCTGTGATGGTTCAAAGGGTGGGGAGAAAACTGCAGAACTCAAAGTCACCCCGTTCAAAACTGCTGCATGACTGGCAAAACACGTTCTCCCCCCACCATCCTCTCTCATGATGAATTTCTGAGAAATTAAAAGCAAACAAATAAATTGAAAACTAAAATGCACCTCCACACATCCAATTTTTTTGTTGTTGTTGTTATATTCCCTAATCAGCCATGGGCTGCTGTTGCAAATGAAAAACTCGGATTATTGCTGCAAAAAAAATCTCTGCAGAGAAAACAGCAAGTTGTTGAGATCCAAGAAACGGTGCTTAACTGGGGCTGTAAAATGAAAAGACAGTCAGCAGCGGGGAGAACATCATTGTGAGCTGGGTTATTATGCTCATATTTGAACATTAGCAAGTCTTGAGATGCAAGATGTGATTTCTAAACACCTCCATAAGCCTGTGCTCTTAAAACTGGATTCACTTTTAGGAGGCTCTGCAATGTTTCCATCCCCACAAAGACTCACTTGGTCTTCTTCATCCTTTCCCTACTTCTCTCTTATTATGGTTAAATATTATTAAGAGTTTTATTCACAACACCTTTTTTTTTCCTCCTGTGCCTTCTGAGATGTTTCTATATGAAAAATGGCCTAAATTTTAATACTGTGGTTGGTATTTTGTAGGATATTGTTCCGCGTTGTGGAATATGTAGTTGGTGTATATTTTGTCTTGTTTCCAAAGCCTGTCTTTTAAAGAGCAGCTCAAAAATTTGTCATCTGGCTCTTGCAATAAAGCTGAATAGTTATGAAAATACTCTTCCTGATGTCTCTAGCAGTACTTTTAACAATCTTCCTTGATTCTCCAACTTTCAAGGTCAGTTCACTCCTTATCTATTGAACCAAACTTTGTGGAGCTGCTCTGAACAGAGCAGCGACTTGGGATTTTGGTTGATTTTCTCTTTGTTCCAGAGCAGTTTTGCCAGGCTTTAAACCCACCTGAGGATAAGAAATCTATTCTAAGCCACGCCAAGGACAGAATCTCCTCTGCTTGTGCTGCAGGGAGAGGGTTAAAATGCTCTTTGTGTGCAGTGGGTTTGCTGTGACTCACAGTTCCCACCGACGCAGGTTTGCAGTGCCTGGTACAACTCTTTCTCTTGCTTCCGTTGGTTTCATCCTTTCCCTTTTGTGTTTTGTGTTTGAAGGGAAGGTCACAGAGCCTCTCATCTGTGTGGGCTCCCAGCAGAGCAGGAGGGAGCCGAGTGAGAGCCCGGGCTGAGCCGTGCGGGGGGACGGAGGACGCGGGCAGGGAAGTTCTAACAGGAACAAAGAAAGCTGGAAGGACCCAGAGGTTTAAGCCACAACCCTTTGGAAGCAAGAGGTCAGCCAAAGGTTTAAAATTGTATATAGTTTTCTCCTGGCTTTGATGGAAAGTTCTTTTCAAGCCCAGCTGGAAAAAAGGATTCAAAGCGATGGGAGGGTTTGCAGGAGCACTGATTTTTCTGCCTTATCATCAGTATTGCACACTTTGCAATACCTGAAGTCTTTTACTTTGCAATACCTGAAGTCTTTTACTTTGCAATATCTGAAGTCTTTTACTTTGCTCCTCAGAAGTCTGTGGAGAGAGGAGTAAATTATTCCCTACAATGACAAATTGACTGTGTGAGCAAAGTGCACACACAGGAAATTAATTATAGCAACTTCACCTCCGAAGATTTCCTCCTTCCTTCCTCCGCACAAAGAGAGGCTGTGGAAATGTTGCCTCTCAGAGCTCCCAGCACTGTCAGGCCTCCCTTTGTGCAGCTCCAGACTGTGCTTTGAACACAGGGATGTGGAGAGGTGACACTCCCTTTGAGCTGAGAATGTCTCCACAACACCCAGGGCTGAGGGGACCGGCAGCGATTGGAATTTTTATAAGTAACACGACATTGGTGAAACACATCAAATATCTCCTCATTTAAAAATTCAAATCATAGAACCATGAGATGGTTTGGGTTGGAAAGACCTTAAAGCTCATCCAGTCCTACCCCCTGCCATGGGCAGGGACACCTTCCACTAGCCCAGGTTTCTCCAACCTGGCCTTGGACACTTCCAGGGATCCAGGGGCAGTTACAGCTGCTCTGGGCAACCTGTGCCAGGGCCTCCCCACCCTCCCAGGGAACAATTCCTTCCTAATATCAGACCTAACCCTCCCCTCTGTCATTTTGAAGCCATTCCCCCTTGTTCTGTCATGTACAAAAAACATCTCAGGACTCTTTGCACAAAAAGCCTCTGCTTTGGCAATTTCCATTTCTTTACCTCTTCTCCTTTATTTTTTTTGGCAGCAGAGTTGCAAAAGGGTGATACTCTGACATTCTGTAAAGGACAGCAATCTGATTTTTTTCTGGTCCAGAATTAATTTGGGTTTCAAACCTGACCCAACAGACACACAAATCTTACTTAAACTTGTCAGATCCAGGATAAAATATTTCAGTTGATACAGGCTGACATTTTTAACTGAGATGTTTGATTTGCAAAAATGTTCTCGATTCCAGCTTTTTTTTTTTTTCCCCTCATGAACTGTGAAGGGAATAGTTTTAGACATGTCATTGCATATTTGACTGACCAGTGATTCACTTGATTGCTTTACTAGAGCAACACATGACATAACTAAATCATGAGGCTTTAAATGCTTCTGTTTTGTAAATGCGAGGACAAGGCTTTAATTATTAAATTCAGATCAATAAAGCAGAGCATCTGCATTACAAAATTCTGAAGGCTGACAAATATTCCTGGAATCAGCTGGACAAACTCCAGCTCTTCAGATAGAAAAGCCAAACCTGTGAAACTTTCACTGTCTCCCTGTTTCTGACCACCCCTTAAATAAGAAAGAAACCCTTCTTTCATGGGAAGTAAATAAATATATAGGCAGCTCAATGGGCTTCAAAGGGATTAAGTAAAGGCTTGCACACAAAATACCTAAATTACAGTATTTTGAGCCTGAATTTCTTGATCTTTTTAATCATCTGTGAAATAAATCTTGTTTGACATCGGTTGCTCTCATCTAGAAAGCAGATTGCACACCCTGAAATTCCTAGAAAAGTTATATTAATATACTGATTTAATAGTTTCACCCTTCATAATATACTTTATTATCACTCCATCCAAAACCTGAATTATTTTGCTGATAAAACTTCCATACTCTGTATTGTTTTCCCATTGCTTTTGTGAGCACTGAATAATAATTTATATTTAAAGCTTTCTGTTTTCCTTCTGAAGTGTAACTATTGGGGGAAAAAAAACCATATATATATATTGAAAGAGATGCAGTTTTATTTTTTTGGCCTCTCTACAAAATATCCTCTAAGATTTAAATTGATTGCAGGGAGGAAAAATCCAAGGCATCCAAGCAGACACTTGGTGTGCTCTACACCAAATTATTCCAAGCCACTGCAAATGTTTATAGTGAAAAGGAGAACTGAACCTTGGCCACGCCACAGCAAAACTGGAGGTGGTGCTTGAATAAACCTGAGAGGTTACATTTTAATCAAGGAAACCATTTGAATGCTGAACCAAGAGGGAAGGGTTTGCAAAGGTTTTACATCCCTGAGGTGGAATGTTGCTGGGTTTGGAGAGTTTTTGGCTGGAAATGTGAGGGAGGTTGGGAAGGGAAGCCTTGACTTTTCCTGGGCAGTGTGTGTGTGTGTGTAACGGGACATTTTGCTCTTGGAATGTGGTCAAACAACTCAAACAAGGCCCTGTTTTGCAAGGTTTTGGTGTTGAATTCTGCTAAAACCAGTCTGGCTCATCAACCCCAAATTAATCTCCTGATAGTGAGGCAAAGATTTGGCAGATGAGATGCTCAGCTGACCTGGGCACTTGACTAAATCAGTCCCTTTATACTCTAAAAGCCCAGGCCACTTCCAGACCATCAGATTCTTCCACCTTAACCCTCCTTGGAGTGTGTGGAGTTTCTCCCTTGTGATGGGGACACTCCTGGAGGTTCAGAGAGAGAGATCTGCCCACAGGCTTTGGTTTGGTGAGTTACATCAATCTCTAATTAATGATTATTTCTTGTTGTCAGCTTTAATATAATTGCTTTGATATAACTGCTTTGACATAATTGCTTTGATATAGTGCACTACCCGATTTTATATTATCCTACCAGGAGTTTTAGCTTTTATACTCTGTGGTAAATAATTCTGATTAAGACCTTTTGTCTGATCATTTGTCATGATAAATAATTCATTTATATTAATATACCCAGCTTGCCATCTTTAACCCTGTGGGACAAAGTTGGACTTAAACTGTTGCCTAAGTCTGAGGCTAAGACTGGATCCAGGAGGAGTTTAGAAAGCAAGGGGGTCCTTTCTCTAATAAACTTTGTCTAAAGCTCCTCTCACCCACAACAGATTGTGCCCCTGGTTTGCAAACACTTCTACACAGAGTCAGAAAGTTCAATTGGCTGTTGATAGAGAACTAATTTGCTGCTTTTTGATGCACTGCTCAAACTGTTCTTGATAAATAAATTATTGGATGGGTCAAGCCCAGAATTTACATATCATGTCTGATGAGAAGTTATACATTCATTATTCACAAGTGTTTGATGAACAGCTTCTGAAAAAAGAAATAAACCCAAACATTAGCCATGTATTTTTTAGGATGATTGACTCAGCTCTAGTGATAAAATTGTTTTTCCATGATTGAGAACCTAACCATAAAAAAAGGAGGCAGCTCAATCACAGAGGTGTTGAACCCTGTTATGCATAAGAGCCTTTGTTCAGACAGCTAAAAATATCTATCCCAAGAAAGAACAATTATTAATGACTAATGGAAATAAGAGTTGTGGCAACCCCTTCCAAGTTTTTACCACCCTCAAAGACTCATTTTTCACTATATCCAAAGTCCAAAGACTCATTTTTTGCTTTATCCAAAGTCCAAAGACTCCAGTCCATGGAATCACCATTGATACATTTTCTGAGGGCTTTATGGCCTGCATTTAATTTGTAAATTTTAATTAATAATATAGAAAAATGGTCACAGCAGCACAGATCTATAACTCTGCTAAGGCTGCTCAGTGTCCCAGGGTGTTGGAAGTTGCATGTTTGGTCCTCCATCAGCTTGGGCAAAATAAAATGTAAACCCATGAGACAGCACCAGAAATCTTGAGGAAAACTTTGTGTTATTAATGTCTAAAATGCCCCAAACCATGTGAATAAGCAGCAGTGACCTGGTTATACGAAAAAAAACAACACACCTCACAGAAAAACCTACCCGAGCTGTTTTAATTGATTGTTCAGTCACCTGCAAATGATGCCCCTGGCTATGAAATGCAAATTTACCTCAAAATATTCGTGTTCATGGGATGGTAAAAAGGTCTGTTGTACTTTGAATCTCAATAAGCTTGGCTTGAGAACTCTCTTCTCTGCACACCACAGGTGTTGTATTTATATATTTATATATTTATATTTTTATATATTTGTATATTTATATATTTATTTATATATTATTTATATATTTATATTTATATATTTATATTTATATATATTTATGTATATTTATATATTTATATATCACACAATCTGTTAGGTTGGAAAAGACCTCTGAGATCGAGTCCAGCCTATGACCAAACACTATGACATAGCACTGAGTGTCATGTCCAGTCTTTCCTTACATGAATATATGCAAATTATGTATTTAAATGGAGATGTGTCATCTATTTATTGATATATATCTAATAATATATCTATAGATATAGATATATATAATATATATAATTATGTGGACTTGCAGGCAAATCTAAAAGGTAAAAAAGATACATCACATCACTTTTATCCCCTCAAATCCTAGAATATCTGCTGCATGTTTTAGCTTTTTGGGTATTTTCTCCAATCATATTTGAAGTTATCTATGTTACAGTGTTTATATTTCTTCCCATGTTTATATCACAATCTTATTCCACAATCTACTATCTCATGGTCAAGAGGACCCATCCCTTTAAACTGTACCCCCTTACATCACCCTACATAATTTTTTTCCCTACTTCAGCTCATTCATCAAATATTTATAGGTAGTTCATGCCCCTATTTACTCATTACTCAGCCAAATTTTACACTCTTAGCTCACCCTCCTGTGTTTAAGTATTTTCCCCGAATGTTTATTTTAGCTCAAAACGGGATTTGATTGCTAATGAAGAAGAAAGATGATTTTTTTTTTTCAGATTTATGTCTCCCTAAATACATTAAGACAACATCTGTGCTCATTTATACATTGTCAATGTAGGCAGGAATACTAAAAAAGGATAAAAATTGGTCTGTGGGGCTTGTGTTGCACTTTAGGCAGAACTTGGTAATCTGAAGTGACATCAGATTTACTGCCACAGAATTCCTGTGCTTTGCAGAGGGATATTCCCTTTGTCCTCTGCTTACTGAAGAGGCAGGGAAGTAACTTTGGTGCAGAAATCAAGAAGTGGTTGTTCCTATGGATCTCTGGGTACATGTGTGGACACATGGATGGTGAGAGGCAGTGGAGCTGCTTGCTGAGAGAAGGAACTGGCTGAAAATATTAATAATTGGTGTTTTCACGTAGTTGAATTAATACTTACGTGCTCCTTTTTCTCAGTTGAGAAAATCCATGCATTCTGATGCCGAATTTTGCCCCAAAAGGCGCAGAGGAACTGCTCAGAGACAGAGTTTTTAGTCTTTAAGCAGGAGGTATTTATTGCAAAGCAGCGTTGGGGAACTCCCAGCTCGCGCTGGACAAAGAGCTCCAGAGCAGGCAGTGAACAGCTGGATTATTTATACAATTCTTGTTAAGAGATTACATCATTTTCCATGAATATTCATAGTATTGCAACATCTAGTTATAATATTCATAACAGGCAGAGTTAGGGCGGAGTCAGGGGCGCGGTCTTCATTTTGGGGATAATCTTGGTGGTACATCCTGTTACTTCAGCCTCAGGGGTCTTAGTTTTAGTCCTTTTTCTCAGGTAAACTTTTGAACTTTCTTTAATTTGGCTGACTACTAGATGTATTTGGCAGGGGTTTCTGAACATCTGGCAGGAGTTTCTGGACCCTGATCCTCCTTTTCCCCCTTATCTTCCTGTGTTCTTACCATATATCTATTTACGTGTATGTTAGCATTCTTAGTGTTCTATTATTTCCTTTCCTTTATGTTCATTGTGTGTCAGATTTCTGTATGTGTTATTTTCCGTCACTCCTTGAGTTCTAGTTCTCTTCTTTCTTTACTCAGGGTATGCATTCAGAGTTAACCCTTCAGGCCTCGTTTTGCTACGCTCAGTTAAATTTTTCAGGCCGTGCCCTGTTTCATTCTGCATCGTTTTCTTGCTTTCCAGGCGCTCAAAGTGTTGTGTTGCTGTGACTCCCCTGAGCTGGCAGCCGGCTCTGTGCTCCAGCCCTTTTCCAAAGCTATTAGAGGAAATCTTTCCTATCGACTGGAGCAGCGTGGGAGCTGCCACAGGGCCGTGCTGAGCAGCCCAATTTATTGATGCTGTTCGTGTTCCTGAACCGGGGGGACCCTCCTGAAGCCGCCTGGCGAAGGAGCCGCGTGCAATTCTCAGCTCCAGCGGTCTCGGGTTCGATCAGGGAAGTTAAACTGTGATTTATTTGGAGCTCTGCAAATCTTTATTCCTGGCTATGAACAAGTGTTCGGGGGCAGTGGTGTGTGGGCCATCTGCCAGCGTTGGATGTGCTGCTGAACCCCCAGCCTCAGGCTCTGGGGACGGAGGGAAGAAACTTCCCTTTCCACAACGTGGAAATCAGATGGTGGCAATGGTTCCAGCTCTTGCCAAATGCAGGTGAGACAGTTTTCCTACCATGGACATCAAAGGGGACAGCAGAAGATGCCACTCAGGCTCAAGTCCACTTAAGCTGATCTGACCAGCACAAAATGTCCACTTCTTGCACAACAATGGCCCCAGTCTGTAAATACATTTCTTCAACCACAGAATGCCTCCTGACCTCAAAAGAGGGGTTTTTCATACCCACCACCCAGCAGTGAACAGGGATCATTGTCCTTCCTTGGTCCTCCTGTGCAACACATGGCTCATCATCAGAGGCTGAGGTGATTTTTCGTCTCCTTTCTATATGTTTACAAAGGGCAGATTTGTAGTGCTTGCCCTGGGCTAAGGTTCTCACCTAGCAGTTATTTCTGATTTTAAATCAATCCTTTTTTTCCAGGCGTGAGGCAGTTTTAATGTTTCTCCAATAATATCTTGCAGAAAGAGCTGGAAAGTGCTTTATGGAGCATAGAACAGCTTAATTTTCCAGGCAAAGGGAGCTACCACAGATGTTGCTTCTTTGCTGCTTCTGCAGCACCTTTGCCTTCCTGTGTATGTTATCCCACATTCCTGAGCTCTGCCAGAGCCCAGCAGGTCCTGGAGCCTTTCACAGCCTCTGCTGGCACCTTCCACATGTTGCAGCAGCCCAAGACTTTTTGGTTTCTCACAGCTCCCAAAGTGCCAAACCCATCCTCAATCCAGTGTCCACCTCCCCATGCAAAGGCACCTTACACTCAAATATAATTATTTCCTTAAATAAACAACCAAGTGAACAAATGTTTGGAATTCAGAGACAAAAAAAAAAACCAAAATAAAATAAATTTTCAGTGACAGTTCTCACTAGAGCTTTAAAACTTTGGCAACTTTTTCAACCTTTTTTTTTTTTTTATCTCCTCCAGAAATAGCTCTGAAGTGTTGATAATGTCCAGGAGGTTAATTCACGGTGCCTGTCACAAGGTGGGGTTTCTGAAATGATGTGCCTAATCTTTGAACTATATTTGATGTATATTTGAAGTCTATTTGCTCACTCAGAGGAATGGGAGAGGACACATTGTAGAATGAGGCACCAAGGTGGTGTAAACCTCTGCTTTGTAGCCAGGACAGGGACTGGTACCAACAACATAAAGAAATTTAGGGTCCTTGTTTATAATCAGATTCATAAGTATAAAGTGCTCCCACACTGTGTAAAATCACTCCTTTACAAGGTTTTTTTTATATACACCATGCTTTTGGGTTTATCTGACATGAGACTGCATTTTAGGGGCTTAAGCACAACCTTATCTTTCCTTGTCCCAGCTGAACCTGGATTAAAGGAGAATTGATCTGGCAGGAGATTTATTTAAATGCCATCACCTGAATCCTCATCCCCACACACCTGGGGAAACCCTGGGGGGACTTGTCTGGAGCTGATGGTTCCTGTTCCACTGTGCTCCCCAAGGAACTGCAGGAATCCACAGAACCAGGTGAGACCCAGGGGGGGTTTCTGGGAGTTAAAATTTCTAATTTTTTTTTTTTTAACTCTTTAGCTGGTTATTTATCTCTCCTCCAACAGGTTGTGGGGAAAAACCTCTCCCTGAGCCTGTCTAAGTGCTCAGCACCAAACTCTTGGAATGGGAAAGGCTGCATGTGATGGTGATACAGGGATGAGTATGTTTAAGTTGCACCAGGGGAATGTTTAGATTGGATATTAGGGAAAATTTCTTCCCCAGAAGGGTGGTCAGGTGTTGGAACAGGCTGTCCAGGGATGTGGTGGAGTAGGTAAGTTCTCAATTTTTGAGTTTTTGGTCCCCTGTAAAACCCTGGCTATAAATGAAAAAAATACGGTCCTTTCAATTTTGGACTGGGAAGGTCACATTAAAAAAGCTACATTAAGCTTTTGACAGTGAAGTTTATAAGAAAGGAAGATAAATAAGAGAGCTGAGGAGTGTAAATCAAAGAGTGAAAGGCTTGTGGTGTTGGAGGCCAGGAAAGCTCAGTGTGTTTGGGTTGGAGGAAGGGCATGACCATAAAGAAAAGGCTGCAAATCCATAAAGGGATTTCATGGGAAGTTGAGGGACTGATTGTTCTTGTTGGGCTTCAACTTAAAGAAAAGCATTATAGGGATAAATCATGGAATCCCAGAATGATTTGAGTTGGGAGGGACCTTAAAGATCATCCAGTTCCAACCCCTTCCACCAGGTCATGAGACAACATAAAATGAGACCCCTTTTAAGGTCCCTTCCAAGCCAAACTATTCTGTGATTCTCATTTTCCCACTTTCAATAACAAGTTGAGGTGAAGTTTTAAGGCATAAAACCTGTTTTTTGGAAGCAGTGGTTAAAATGTTTGGGGTTTGTGCATTTAAATGAATTTTTAATGTTCTATCTCTGTAATTAAGAAGGGCAGGAACATAGGAATTCTTCAGGGGCAAGCAAGAAGATATCATTTGCTATTTTGAAAGTGCTCCGAAGTTTAGGAAGCTTTAATAAAGTCATAAAGCAGAAAAAATGTATTCCCTCTGTCCCCTCTCTCTTATCTTTCTCAATTTTGGGAGCCTTGAAAGATTCCAGGGAAGGTGTACTGACAGTAAACAGGCTTTTCTTGGTTACCTTCAGTGCCTCCAAAGTAATCCATGGCCCCTTGGGATCTGCAAATCACGGACTGAGAGCAGCTCTCCAGGTGATAAAAGCTGCAGGATAACTCATTTAAAATACTTTGCAGAGATGATGATTACTGAGTCTTGCAGCAATATACACATGAATTGTCTCTTGACTTCGATGGAGTCAATTAGAGCTCCTTAATTAGTGCAGTTAGTAATCATCTGCTGAAATTACAGACTCTCTTTTGTGCTATGATTTGTATTTTAATACCACTTTTAAAAATGACCCTGCCTAGACAAATTTGGTTGAACATTTTCTTTAGTTGCTTTGGCACTGCAGGACTACTTTAAAATAATTTGATATCTGAGACTTCTCTCAGCAACATAATTTTTTGGTGGTTCTCTATTTTTCTCCTTACTTATGGTTTTTGCTTTGATTCCTTGTAATCACTCCTGCTTAAACCTTCTGAACTCCGAGACTAATTCATCCTTTTTCCTTGGCTTTTTTTTTAAAATTTTTTTCATTTTTCCAATGAATTTATTAATCATGAAAGACCTTCCATATGGGAAACACTCATTTGATGCACCAGACCAAACTCTTAGATTGCTTTTTGATTTTGAAACAATCTGGTCTCTCTTTGAAGGAGTTACAGCACAGGGACACCCGATGGTTCTTCATTAAACATGAATAAAGGGAAAAAGGCAGTGGAATAAGCAGATCCTATAAATCCCCATGGAAGAGCCATGTCAGAGGGACAACAGGCTCATAACTGCCTGGGAAATTGGTGGGGTGGGGAGGGACCTGGAGTCATTCCAGGCAACACAATCATGCAACAAAGCTTTTGGATATTGATTCCTCTTAACTTCTACAAGCAGCAAAATCTGTTTTCCCACGTAGCAGGGATCCTGTTCTTGCACTGTCTGAATGTTTCTGTCTAATGTGTCACCTGGAGCATCCCAAATTGGCAATTTTTCTCCTGTTAGGAGCTGATTCCCCTCACACAAAGCACTGGGATGGGACGTGGCTCACGTTTAGTTCCCGAATTTGACTCTGCGATGACAAATCCCTTTAATTTTGACTTGCTCGTATTTGTGGAAGGAGTGGGGACTCCGAGATATTGCAGGAATTATTTTCAAGCAAAGCATTTGTTTTGACAGCATTGAAAAAAGCAGGAAAAAAAAAAAAAAGGGAGAGATATTATCCTGTGACAATATATCTTTTTATACCTGAGAGGCATTTACGGCTCCAAAATTGTTTACAAGAACAGGAAGCATCTGCCAGGCTGAGCTGGGAAACTGGGAGGATTTTCTGCTGTAGAAATGACTCCATGTTCATGCACCCAGGAAAGGATGGGGTGGGTGGAAGGTTCCAGACTGGATTTACCTGCTGGTTGTAGGGATCAGCAAATGGAAGTAAGAGGGAGTGAGATCCTGAGACGTGAAACAGGAGAGGAAGCAGAAGGTGCTCCAAAGGGCATGGAGTGATGGGATAAGGGGGAATGGCTTCAAACTGAAGGATGGGAGGTTTAGATGGGATATTGGGAAGGAATTCTTCCCTGTGAGGGTGGGGAGGCCCTGGCACAGGTTGCTCAGAGAAGCTGTGGCTGCCCCATCCCTGGAAGTGTCCAAGGCCTGGTTGGAGCAACCTGGGATAGTGGGAGGTGTCCCTGCCCATGGCAGAAATGATCCTTAAGGTCCTTTCCAACCTAAACCATTCTAGGATTCTTTTCTCTCTGCAGAGATAAAGGAGCATCTGTTCCTCATGGAACAGTTTTGGTTCCCAGAGCTCTTATTATATTTAGTGTCAATTTATTCAAAGTGGAGACTCTTAAATCTTTCACGTAAAAACTGAGCATGGAATTATCTTCAGGGAAAATTCTCAATTGCATTGATGTGTCCAGAGGGGTCAGACTGAAGTCAATAAGATATTTCAGATATATTCGGGTCTTAATGTTCTACATCTGAATTTAAGTTCAGATTTGTAGAATAAAAAATAAAATAGAATGTAATAAACATGACCCAAATGAAATATTATTTAAATGAATATATTTGCTTGATAAATATAGCTTGTATTTTAAATATTTCTCAGGTTTAAAGAGTGTAAGACCATATAGAATGTGCCTTATGTTTAATTTCTTTATCCATTCCGTGTTCACGGCCTTGACCTTGTAGAAAATGTTGGTAAATGTGTATTTATATCCATGTGACAACCTGAATGGTAAGAATTGTTCCAATACACAGATCAATAACACGTTGGAATGCTGTTATTAAACAGAGAGCTGCCTTAGTAATGAAAAAAACACATCAACTTTCTATGAAATGATGTTTTTTTCGAGGCAGAGTGAGCCATAGATCAAGCTTTGACAAATTCTGCTACTCTTGAATAGATTAATTTTTTTGCTCCTGGCCTCCTTTCCACCTGGAAGAGAGAAAAGAAAGTAATTCCTGCTCCAGAGACAAAGGGATTTAAAATGAGGGGAAGGAAGGCACAACTCCCAGCAGCAGCGTTTTGATTCATAAGCTTAAATACTGGTGCATCATAAACTGTAAAATGTGCTGATTTCCACTTAGTGATAATTCCTGG